ATGTTGAATTGGTGAAGGTTCTATTGTGTATATGTTCACCACCATTAAAAAAAAAGAGATGTATGAGAGCCCAAAGGCAATAAAATCAAAAGGCATTGCACATTGTGCAAAACTGAGAAGATTTAGGTATTCATTTTCACATGTGCTTCCTGCAAATTGAATAACCTAAAATAAAAGGAAAGCTTAATTTTTTTTCAGGAAAAATTAATAAGTGACTCTTTGGTGCTAGAAAATATTTTAGGAATCTGTGCTACGATGGTGCACTAAATTACTTTTATTTTCCATTTTTCCATTGAATAAAATATTTATGCATTTATTCTTATACCATTATTAATTTATTCAAAAAAATTCCTTTCAACTGGAGTATTCATTTAAAGTAGTATTCTTCAGCCAAGGATTGGACATCCCCCTAAACAAAATGGGACTAATGAAGCACAGAGGTCCAGGGACAAGGACTAGAAGGCAGGAGGGGACAGGAAAGCTGGTGATAGGGAACCCTAGGTAGAGAAAGGACAGTGTTGACATGTCATGGGGTTGTTAACCATTGTCATAGGGCAATATGTGTACTAACTGCTTAATGAGAAACTATTTGTTCTGTAAACCTTCATCTAAACTACAAAAAAAAAAAAAAGAATTATCTGTGTGAGATCAAATTGACAGCAGAAACTCAAAAGGTTTGATGGGAAGCCTAGGGGGCAGTGAGTTGAAGATAATGGTGATGGAACAATTTGGAAAAGGATCATGAGAATAGCAGCACAACTGGAAGAATGTAATTGATGTCACTGAATTGTACATGTAGAAATTTTTGAAATGGTGTATCTTTGGCTATGTATAATTTTCACCAAAAAAAAAAAAAAAAGATCCTCCAAGGCTGAGAAGGGAGAGTGTTGACATGTCATCGGGTTGTTAACCAATGTCATAAAACAATATGCATACTGACTGTTTAATGAGAAACTCTTTCTTCTTTAAACCTTCATCTAAAGTACAATAAAAAAACTTAAAAGAAAAAAAGTTGCATTCTTTCTTTTTTAGCAGGTGTACTTTTCAGATAGCTAGATATACTTCCCCTGAGATCACCATACTCTTGGTGGTGTCATCAAAATATGATTTTCACGCAATAAACTGCACACAACAAAAGTGCACACTGTGTTAAGATTTGTCATGATGAAGCTGTCATCATAAATATGATAATATATCCATCCCTCCAAAGTTTCACCATGTCCCTTTATGATTCCTTGTCCCTGCTCTCCTCACTCTTATTCTATGAAACCATGGATTAACTTTTCTTTCATTATAGATTAATTTGCCTTTTCTGGAATTTTGTATAAATGGAATCATGAAGACTTTACTATTTTTTGTCTGATTTCTTTTAGAGAATGTAATTATCTGAGTTTCATCCATGTTGTGTGTACAACTACTTCTCTTTTTTATTGTTGAATAATATATTCTATGGATATACCATGTTGTGCTTATCCATTCATCTGTTAATGAGTATTTGGTTTTTTTCTCCGATTTCTTGGTTCTTACAAATAAAGCTAAAATGAAATTCATGTACGAAATGTTGTAGGGTCATTTGCTTTCGTGTCACTTGAGCTATTACCTAGGAGTGTAAGTTTTGTGTCCCAGTGTAGGTAAATGTTGAATCCTTTCCAGAACCGCCAGACTGATTTCTAGAGTGTTTGGAGCATTTTAATATACTATATTAAAATGTTCTGGTTAAATTTCTGGTTCCTCTACATCCTTGCCGATACTTAGTATGGTTAGTCTTTTTAAGTTTTAGTCACTCTAACTGGTGTGTACCTCATTGTGATAAAGTTCTGGCGATCTGCTTCTGAAAGGTCAGAGCCTTGAAAACCCTATGGAGCAGTTCTACTCTGCACACATGGGGTTGCCATGAGTCACAGTCAACTCGCCCACAGCTAACAGGCAGCTAACAACAACAACAATGAGATGGCCAGGAGCCCAGAACCCTCACAGAGGGTGAGCATTATGCCCTCACTACCTAGGGGAGCCGAGAGGTCACCGGGAGCTCAGTGTATTAGCTAACATTTCATCTAGCTCAGCCTCAGGAACGAGTTGGCTAAGCTCAGTCTACAGGAGTGATCTTTTTTTTTTTGGTAACTAGGACTGCTGGGCAGGAGAGGAAGTTCCTCTACCAGGTTTTTTTTGGCCCTGTCACAAGCATTCAGCTGCTAACCAAAAGGTCAGCAGTTTGAATCCACCAGCCGCTACCTGGAAACCTACGGGGCAGTTCTACTCTGTCCTATAGGGTCGCTATGAGACAGCAACAGGTTTTTCACCATCTTGGGGCTCACTCTAATCTCCATGACTGTGTGTAACTAGTTCAATCTGCTTCTCAGCAAGGACTCCTGGCTAGTATTCATTTCTTGAACATGGTTGGACAAAAACTGCCCACTGTTTGCCAGGTCATATAAGAACCTTTGTGTGTCAATAATTAGCAGATTAGGGACAGAAATAAGTAAATGAGGGCCCACTGGAGGAGGAAGCCCACAGCCACCCACAGGGGTCAGAAAGTGGGACCACCTGCACATGGGCTGTAAATGCCCTAAATAATCTGAGTTTGATTGAAGGCACCGTTTCAATACCCGCACACAAAGGCAGTGAAACAAAGAAGTCTATTACTCACAGGTCCTAAAATAAGCCAGGGGAAGGGCAGTCCTCCGTCCCAGCTCTCAATCAAGAGAGAGGGAGAGAGGGAGAGAGCAAAGCACTAAGCATCTACCACTTATAGAGTATTCAGGGCAGTGGTCACTGGCTTACGTGGACTTAGTTCTAAGTGGGTATTTTGAAAAGTAACCTGGAAAGTAAGACGGGGAGCTAATGACAGGAACTCTAAGGCTGAGGTCTTATCTAAATGTCCAGCCAGGGGTGTATGCTTATCTAGCATGGCCTAAGGTGCCTAGGCAGCAACTTAGAATGGCTGCTTCTCATCACACTTTGTGGAGCTCTTTTCCCCAGACAGAAGGTGCCCCCACCAGGCAGGGCAACTCCAGCCAGGGGATGAGGTGGATGCTGGGCTAGCCACACCACAATTGTCCACCTGTGGTTTACAGGCCATAGGATGTAGCCAGTTCAACTTCTACTTCCTTTTCTCAGGACTGTGGTTCCTTCTGAAACAGTTAGCTCAGCTCTATTCCCCACCTTCCCCTACCACTTCCTGGAGATATGGCAGGCTAGGGACAGCACCTGTCTTTCTGCACCACCTGTTGCATTCTCTGGCACAGATGCTTTAAAAAAAAAGTTGCTGGCTTTGTCCAACACATGGCAACCTCATGTGTGTCAGAGTAGAACTGTGCTGCATAGGGTATTCAGTGGCTGATTTTTCAGAAGTAGATTGCCAGGTCTTTCTTCTGAGTTGCCTCTGGGTGGAGTTGAACCTCCAATCTTTTGATTAGCAGCAAGCACATTAACCCTTTGCCCCACCCAGGGTTTATTAGTTCACAGTTTGCTTTGTGTCTTTTTGTTTTTAGGTGCTGTGTGGTTGATTTCAACTCATAGCAACCTTATGTGACAGAAAAGAACTGCCCCATAGGGTTTTCTAGGCTGTATTCTTCACGGAAGGAGCCCTGGTGGTGCAGTGGTTAAGCACTTGGCTGCTAACCAAAAGGTTGGTGGTTCAAACTCACCAGCCGCTCCACAGGAGAAAGATGTGGCAGTCTGCTTCTGTAAAGATTTACAGCACTGGAAACCCTATGGGGGCAGTTCTACTCTGTCCTATAGGGTCACTGAGTCAGAATCGATGGCAGTGGGTTTTGGAATCTTACAGGAGCAGATCGCCAGGTCTTTCTCCCATGGAGTCACTGGTGGGTTCCAACTGCCAACCTTTCGGTTAGCAGCCCATTGCTTAACTGTTTCACCACCAGTGCTCTTTTTTTTGTGCCTCAGTGATATGTTATGGTGTGCCCAGGTATGTCCAATTGTGGCATCTTCAATAACATAACCCTAAACACTTTGGGGATCCCTGGTGGCACAGTGGTTAAGAGCTACAGCGAGCTATGGCTGCTAACCAAAAGGTCGGCAGTTTTGAATCCACCAGCTGCTCCTTGGAAACCCTATGGGGCAGTTCTACTCTGTCCTATAGGGTCGCTGTGAGTCCGACTTGATGGCAATGTGTTTGTTTGTTTGTTTTTTGGTTTTAAACACTTTGGAGGAGTCCTGGTGGCGCAGCGGTTAAGAGGGCTCAGGGTTTACGGTTTAGGTGCCAATCCATGGCCCCCCAGTCTTGAGGACATAAAAGGGCTTTGATCCCCTGGGCGGGAGCGTGGTCTTTCCGCCACTAGGTCCCACGTTGCTCCCTGTCTGCGCAGACAATAAATTTGCCACTTTCTGTTTCCCTTGCAATTGGCATCTGTCTCATTTCAATCCGCTAATAGGACACGACAAGAACCCTAGGAATTCGGTTACATTATGAGTCGGAATCGACCACATGGCAACAAGTTAAACACTCTGGAAGGAGCCCCGCTGGCGCAGTGGTTAAACACCGGGCTGCTGACAGCGAGGTCAGCAGCTGGAATCCACCGGCCACGCCACAAGAGACTGATGTAGCATCTGTAAAGATTACAGCCTTGGAAACCCTATGGGGCAGTTCTACTCTGTCTTATAGGGTCGCTAGGAGGCAGAATCTACTCCACAACAAAAGCCAACTTTGGCGATCTGGGTAGCCTACACTCCCCGAAATCTGAATGCTTCCCCTTTAAGAAGAAGCATAGCACCTCCCCCTTCCTGTTTCCCATAGCCCCTTTCGGCGCTTAAGGCCCTAAATCTTGGATACCAGAAAGAAAACCCCTCAGATGGCCGGATGTGGAGTGTAAATTGTACTATTGTTACCCAGAAGGCTGTGCGCGGTGCGCCCTCGTGCGCCCGCATCAACAACAGGCAATAAGCCAATGAGAGCCCAGGATGCAGACCGGCGTCCGGGCGGGACTTCCGGTGGACCGTCATGGTCTTTACTTGCTTAGTGGCTAGCCTGTCTTAAAGGCGGTTGTGGCCGGTGCTCCGCCCCGGGCCGGAAAGGGTAATGTGGCTCATAGAACCCCTCTCTGCGCTGTTGTAAGGCTTGGGGCAGGGTTCACCTTTAGCCCTTGGGGTTCGCCGGGTCGCCCGCCTCACACAGCCGCTCCGCCCACGGGATCCATGGCGCTCAGGGACGCGGCGAAAGTGAGTGGAGGCTCCCCAGGCCTCATGGGACCGGCCCCCATCCCCATGGTCCCGGTGACCCGACATGGGGGACGCTGGTCTCTCCAGATTATTCGCCTCTCCCCTCCTTGCCGTTGGGTCTGGGCGTCTGGGGGTGGATGGGTGATCACTCCGGACCCAGGGTCCGCAGTGCAGGCCAGGGGTTGTATGAGAGGGTTCCCATTTCTGGCAACCAGTGGGATGCGGCGTGGACGGATGAAATGGGGCTTCTAATCTCAGAATCTCCCTAAACCACGCCCTCTGCCCAGAACGACGCGCAGTTGTGGGGCGCGGGCTGCAGAGTACAGAGCTTAAGGTGCGTTCAAGTCAGGCTCTTTCCTGGGGCTGTGATCTTGATCAAGCCCCACGCTTCCCTTGGCTTCCATTTATTCTTGTCTCAACAATCCTTTCGCCTTGTTTGAGAGGACTAGAGAGCCCTGGTGGCACAATGGTTAAGCACTTGGCTGTTCACCAATAGGTCAGTGGTACCAGTTTACCAGCTGAAGAAAGACCTGGTGAGCCTTTTACATAAAGATTGTTGTTGTTGGGTGCCGTTGGGTCGATTCTGACTCGACGACCCTATGAGACTGAGTAGAACAGCCCCATAGGGTTTTCTTGGCTGTAATCTTTACAGGAGCAGATCGCCACGTCTTTTCTCCCATGGAGCAGCTGGTGGGTTTGAATTGCTGACCTTACTTTTTGGTTAGCAGCTGAGTGCTTAAACATTGGTCCACCAGGATTCCTTCCATAAAGATTACAGCCTAGAAAACCCTGTGTAGCAGTTCTACTCTGACTCACTGGATCATTATGAATTGACTCAGTGGCACCTAGCAACAACAGTGAGGGCACATGTGTGATATGTCTCCAGTACCCAGCAGGGCCCGTAGCTCTGAACACTGTCAGGAAGGGGTGCCTCTGGCCATGGTGATCTTTGGCACTCACCCTAGGGAGATTGCAGTCCCCGGGCCGTTCTGGACTGTCACCAGTGACCAGGCAATGAGACTGGGCCAAGGCCAGTGATGTGGCCTTTGTTTCACTTTCCAGATGTCAGTGACCTTTGAGGATGTGTCCGTGACCTTCACCCAGAAGGAGTGGGGGCAGCTGGGTCCTGCCCAGAGGACCCTATACCGGGAGGTGATGCTGGAGACCTGGGGGCTCCTGACCTCACTGGGTAAGGCCTCACCTTTCTTCTGTGTGTGGGAACTGCAGCCTCCATGCTGTCCTCTTCCTCTGGAAGACCTCTCTAGGCTGCTGTCCCTCCTGTCTACATGCCCACCATATCCTGGCCCCTCCTCCTCCAGCCCAGCCTCCCTGTGTCTCCATCAGACATTGTTGGGTGAGAAATATAGTCCATCTCAAAACTGCACAAGTACCAAGAGAGAAGGCTGTATTGGAAGGGCACAGGGTGTCTCAGAACCAAGGGCAGGATGTTCAGCTGGGCACTGTTGAGGGGCTGAAATCAGGAAGTGAAATAACCACAATTATGTCTGGGCTTCAGTGTCTCTCTTTTTTCTTTCTCTTTGTGGGTCTCCTTGTTCCGCTCTCTGCAGATTGGTCTCAGGGAGTTAATAAGAAGTGGCCGCCCCAGTCCTCACTCTTGGAGACCCCAGATTTTTTTGTCTCTACTTCTGTCTGCATGCTTATATCATTTCTGTGTCTTGCTGTCTTTCTGATCAGCTGACCATCTTCATGTGGATGTTCTCGTGGCAAGAAATGCCTCCCCCCGCCAAGCCCACACTTCCCTTAACCTCTTAACCCCAGTTCCCAGCCTGAGATCCTATTTCCCGACTCCCACCAGAGTGAATATGACTTGTCTGACTTGTTTGGGTAAAGTTTCCCGTAGCCTAGCTACAGGGTCGCAGGCGGTGCATAATTCTTCAAGAAGGGGATGAGTTAGGGCACTAGGAGGTGTTTACCAGCATTGCCACCCGTATCATTCTAAACAACACAATCTCAGTTCAGAGGCTTCTTTGACTCCTGATGATGGTATGAACATTACTTGTTTCCCTGGGCCATGGTCTTCTGCAGACACAGTAAATGGCTTTACGTGGTGCACGTACATGTGATCAAATGGCACGGAGGAGCAATTGGAGAAAACCTTTCTTCCTTCTTTTCAGCTTTCTCTGTATTGTTAGGAGAGAGTTTTCATTTCTTGCTGAGTCTCCCTTATTGTTAGTTGATGTCAATTTGGCTCTAACTTATGGCAACCCTATGTACAACAGAACAAAACAATGCCGGTCCGGCGCCATCTTCACTATCATTTTTGTGGCCACTGTGTATTTTGAGTGCCTGCCAACCTTGGGGACCCATCTTCTACTACTAGATCAGACAATATTCTGTTGTGATCCATAGGGTTTTCACTGGCTAATTTTTAGAAGTAAATCACCAGGCCTTTTTTCCTAGTCTTGTTTTATGCTGGAATCTCCACTGAAACCTGTCCACCATGGTGACCCTGCTGGTATTTGAAATGCTAGTGGCAGAGCTTCCAGCATCACAGCAACACTGAAGTCACCACAGTAAGACACACTGACAGGTGGTAGCTGAGTCTCTAGTGCCTCTGTCATTGTGGCTAATTTCCCTTTTCATCCTGAGCAGGCCACATGAGCTTGCTGGGACTTGATAACATTATTTTGATTTCATTCTTGCATTTTGATGATAACTTTCCACTTGTGGCAAGTGAAACTGGTTTCTACACTTACTAAAGCAACGTGAGGTTCCCGTTTTCAATAAATATATTTATGAATAAGTTGGTCATTTCAAAGAGTAGTGAATAGTAATGGGCATAGATAGTAGTCCATGCACACAGACCCCTCTGTCCCATCGCTGCATCTGAACAGTTTGGATTCTAGAACGTGGAGCTCAAGAAGCATGGGTGCTGCCTAGACCATTAAGACAGCCAACACTGCCTTCTGCAACCTCTGATGATATAGGATGGAATTTGTCCCATTCGTTTCCGGGTTACACGTCAGCTTTTTTTTTATTTTTTATGTTTTGCTTGGATAGGAGCAGCCTCATTCCAAAGTTCCGTCCCTGTACTGAAGAACCAGACTGGACTGAGACAAGTCCTTGAAGCTTTACCAAAATCTGTGTGTTGTATTGTTTTTTCCCATGAACAGGGAAACCTCTTCCCAAACCAGAGCTGATCTACGGACTGGAACATGGGCAGGAGCTGTGGACAACAGAGGGAGGCCTTGCTCAAAGCACCTGTGCAGGTAGGTGAGCCATCACACGCTGGCCGAGGAGGGGGTGTGGGTCACGGCAGCCTCAACTGTGAGGGGACCTCCACCTCTGAAATTTCATGGGAATCTTCTTGTTGTGTCCCACCTAGGGCCTGTCTTAGTTGTCTGCTGCTGCTATAACAGTAGGTGCTTTAACAAACAGAATTTTATTTTCTAACAGCTTAGGCTAGAAGTTCAAATTCAGGGTGCCAGCTCTAGGGGAAGGCTTTTTCTCTCTGTTGGCTCTGAAAGAAGGTCCTTGTCTCTTTGAGCTTCTGCTCCTGGGTGATCTTCATGTGGCTTTGCATCTCTTTTCCCCGTCCCTGCTTGCTAGAGTGCATTTAATCTCTTTTATATTTCAAAAAAGATTGACTCAGAATACACGCTACATTAACCTGTCTCATTATCATAACAAAGACAACCCATTCTCGGATAGGATTACAACCACAGGCATAGAGGTTAGGACTTACAACACATATTTTGGGAGGACACAGTTCAATCCATAATGGGGCCTGGTTGGCCATGGAGCCCTTTGACATGATCCCTTTGTCCTCTTTTGACATGTGGTTCACTGGCACTGGGGGGAGAAGCTGTTGTATTAAGAGTCAGGCTCTGGTCTTCAACTGCTTAGTCTTAAAATTTGGCTTTGCCCCTCACTAGCCTTTTGACCCTGTGCTGTTGAATGATATCTTCCTTCAGTTGCTGTCGAGTCAGTTCCAACTCAGGGCAACCCCATGTGTGTCAGGGTAGAACTGTACTTTTTTTTTCTTTCAATTTTTACTTATTTTGTTGTTGAGAATACACACAGCAAAACATACACCAATTCAATTCCTACATATACAATTCAGTGACATTGATTACATTCTTCAAGATGTGCAACGATTCTCACTCTTTTTCCAAGTTGTTGCTCCCCCACTGACATAAACTCACTGTCCCTTAAGGTTCCCGTCTATTCTTTCAAGTTGCTATTTGATCCCATAAAGATAGTTCTTAAAAGGGCATAATGCTCAAAGCAGACATTCTTTACTAGTTAAGCCAGACTATTGTGTTGTTTTAAGAAGACTTCAGGGGATTTTTTGGTTTAAGGTTTAAAGATTATCTCAGTGCAGTAGTTTCAGGAATTCATCCAGCCTCCATGGCTCCTGAAAGTCTGTAGTCTGCTCCATTGGGTTTTCATTGGCTGATTTTTTCAGAAGTGGATTGTCAGGCCTTTCTTCTGAGACACCTTTGGATGGATTTGAACAAACTGCCAACTTTTTGGTTAGTAGCCAAGTATTTAACAGTTTGTACCACCCAGGTCCTCAGTATATAAGACAGGATAAATTTAAGCTAGCTACTGTAGCAGATTAACTTCAAAATATCATGGCTTAACACATGAAAATGTCTTGTGGGTTCGTGGAGGGGGTCTGTCTCCTTGGGCTGCAGTGCCCCTCCCATTACCTCTATCTGGCTCCTACTGCCACTCTGTTAGGGCTCATGGGCCACCTCCTGTGGGCAGGCTTCCACTCACTTTCTCTTTCCCATCTGCCCCGAGTTAAGTGGCCTTGGCTGTGCTTTTAGCACATCATGAGACATCCCTTAGAGCACGCACACTACAGACCCCATCATCATCACTGTCCACCCATCCCCAGTCTGGTCTCTGAGGAGGTTTCTCCACTCCAGACCTCTTTCCCCAGCCCCAGCCTCCTCCAGGCTTCCCTTTAAAAGGTACCAAGAGTCAAAAATAGAAAACAAATAACTTTGCAAACCTGGGTGTCACTGATGTCAAAACACTGTAGACCTCAGAGGCGCCCATTTCCTACCTACTTTTCTGGCTGAAGTGGTGATTTTTTTCTCTGTTGACATCACTAATTGTTCCCTTTGCATATCGTATTCCCTTCCAGGTAACAAAACACAACCCAAGACCTCACAGCCTACTGCTTGTCAGTTGGCCGTGGCTAGAGGAACCCTATTCCGGGAACAACTGGCTCAAGGAGTCTCAAGGGACTCCAGGTTGGTTCGAACCAGGAGACGGAAAGGGCCACCAGAAAAGCAGGAAAGGCTTTTGAGGACAAGGGTAGTGTCCCAGAAGGAGATCCACCATGGAGAGATAATCCCTGAATGCAGTGCTTTGGGGACACATGGTAGTCTGTACTCAGGAGACTCACAGGCACGAAGCTCTCCAAGAGATGCTTGCCAGGAGCGGGGCTCAGAAGGACCAGGTAACGATACCTTGATTCATGTAGGGAAGAGCCTCTGTGAATGCCAGCAGTGCAGGAAAGGGTTCAGCAGGAATTGCCTCCTTACTAAACATCAGCAGAGTCACACTGGAGTGAAGCCCTATGAGTGCAATGAGTGTGGAAAAGCCTTTCGTGAGAGAGGAGACTTTGTTCGACACCTGATGATCCACACCGGAGAGAAGCCATACAAGTGCGTCGAGTGTGGGAAGGGCTTCAACCGCAGCTCATACCTCACACAGCATCAGCGGATTCACACCGGGGAGAAGCCCTATGCATGCACGGAGTGTGGGAAACACTTCACCCACCACTCCAATCTTGTCCAGCATCATAGGACCCACACTGGAGAGAAACGCTTTTTGTGCAAAGTATGTGACAAAGCCTTTTGTGACAGCTCTTCCTTAAATAGACACAAGAAGATTCACGCTGATAAGAAGCCATATGAATGCACTGAATGTGGGAAGGTCTTTGCCCAACTCTGTGCTTTCGTTGGTCATCAAAGGACCCACAGTGGAGAAACACCCTTTGAGTGCAAAGAATGTAAGAAAACCTTTTGTTACAAATTTTCCTTAACGCAACACATGTGGCTCCACACCGGAGAGAAGCCCTTTGAGTGCAGTGAATGTGGGAAGACCTTCAGTCTCAGGGTAAGACTGAGTCAGCATCAAAAGATCCACACTGGAGAGAAACCCTATGAATGCCACGAATGTGGAAAGGCCTTTACCTTTAGCTCAAAACTCAGTCGGCATCGAAGGATCCACACTGGAGACAAAGTCTTTGTTTGTAAGAGGTGTGGGAAGGCTTTTGGCCAGAGGGATTACCTTAATCGCCATCAGGTAACTCATCGTGAGGAAAGACCTTTTGAATGTAACCATTGTGGGAAATCGTTTGGCTGGGAAAACCGTCTCATTCGCCACCTGAGAATTCATACTGAAGAGAAATCCCATTATGTATCACTGCTGTGAGGAAGCCTCTGGGACTTGGGGGAGATGGAAATCTCTGTCATGCATGATTGTGGTGGGTGGGCCATGAATAAATTCTTTTCTCAGTACTTACCTAATAGGACTTTTGAAATTGATGACATTTTTTATTAAATTACAGGTAGTTCTGACTTACGACATATTCACAAGTTATGACAACCTGTGCTCATGACCGTCTTTTTTTTTTTTTTTTTTTTGGTACATCTTATCACTACATGCAGTGTTGTAGCACGTAATTTGCGATGTTACCATTCTCATGGCAACCCCCAAAGAACAAAGATCATATTTATAAAGATACTGATAATAAAAAGCAATAATAATGAAAACTTAAAAAAAAATTGAGGTGTTTGACTTACGTCAGAAGCGAATCTCATCATAATTTGGGGACTGCCTGTACTTCTTTTGTAACTGGGGAAGATCTGGAAAAATATGTGGGGGCCACAGGGACAGGTGGGGAGCCACTTGGGGTCCACAGCAACTCCTAGGTGATGGGGCACAGTAGTGTAAAAGCACTGAGACTTGCCTGCTGAGAGCCTGAAACCCCAGACCAGTGAGTTCACAGAGGAGTGCCGGGAGCAACCCCGGGTGAGCAAGCAAAGAGTGCTGATTTTGCAGGCTGGGCATCCCTCAGCCGCCTAATGAGAAAGGATTTCCCCTGGAGCCATATGCTGAATTTGGACTTTTAGCTACATCCTGAACTTGAGAAAATAAATTTCTATCCTTTAAAGCCATCTACTTGTATTTCTGTTACAGCGGCACTTAGCTAAGTAAGACATACTCCCTCCTGGGTTAGAGAGGAGATGAAATAATTTGGAAGAATTTGAATCATTGTTGCTTTGAAGATGGAGGCGGGGACAATGCACCAGTGGATGTAGGTGGCCTCTAGATGTTAGGGACAACCCTCAGCTGACAGCAGAAAAATGGGAATTTCAGTCCCGCAGCTGCCAAGAACTTGGGCTCCATTTCTCACTGTTCATTAACTCTGGCCATATGTCGTTTGGATCACCTTATTTGCAGGGGTGGAGGAACAGGGATGTTGTGGCTAAGGTAGCAGGCTTGTTTACCATCACCATGGAAATCCGAGGCCTCAAACCTTGGTCAGGATTGCAAAGAGGCAGGGTCAAAGCCAAACTTGGACAGAGGCAAGTCTCCAACCTGGCACACTGATTCCAAGCAGCCCTTCTGCTTGGCTTGGAGATGCAGGCTTATCCCTGCATCCTGGATCTCTTGGCATTGGCAAACCCCCAGGAGCCATTGTAGCCCTTTGCAAGCCCAGACTTGGGCTCTCCTCTACTCCAACTGGCCTGATGATCAAGGGCAAGTGATTGAGCCCTAAGTATTTCTCTGTGAAATGTGAGAAGAACTGATTCTATAGAGGACAGTGAGCTGGTAGGATGGGGAAGGTGGAGGTAGGAGGTGGGAGGGTGAAGGACTGTTGGGATTTGTCATTCTAGGGCAGGCAGTTATTAGGTGCTGTTAAGTTGATTCCAACTCATAGGGACCCCATGTGACAGAGTAGAACTGCCCCATAGGGTTTCCTAGGCTGTAATCTTTATGGGAGCAGATTGCCAGGTCTTTCTCCTGTTGGACTGCTGGTGGCTTCAAACTGCTGACCTTTTTAGCAGCTGATCACTTAACCACTGTGCCACCAGGGCTCCTTGGGCAGGCAGTAGGATGGGAATTCTAGAGGGTTTTCAAGTGATGGAGTCATAAGGTTTGGGAGAGTAGAGTGCCACAGTCCCATTGTAACATGCCCAGAGCCTCAGCCAGGGATGGACTGGGCAAAGGGGAAGAATCAAAGCCCAGGGTCTCGTACTGCACAGATAGTGTCTGAGCACTGAGGTCTCCGTTCCTTCATTTGCTCAGCCTTTCCTATCTCATGACCATCAACACTGACAGCTGAGTTGTGCGCTGTCACTCCTGCCCCCATCCCTGAGTTCAGGTTGAGACACAGACCTCTGGCTCCTTTCGCATCCTCACCTCTTCCCCCAGTCTAGCCATCTCAGCCCAAGGCTGTACCTGCTGTGAACCACACACCTCTAACTCACCTGCAGCTCCTGCCCTCATTTCCATATTTACCTATGGTCGCCTGGACGACCGTGAGGTCCAGGTAGCCTAGGTGAGGATGGCTGCCTTCAGAACATGAAGCACTGCGGGCACTAAGGATTCTATAGAGGATAGTGAGCTGGTGGGATGGGGGAGATGGAGGCAGGAAATGGAAGGGCTAAGGATTGTTGGGATCTGTCACTCTAGGGCAGCTGTTAGGTGCTGTCGAGTCATTTCTGACTCATAGTGACCCCATAGGACAGAGTAGAACTGCCCTGTAGGGTGTCAGTACCTCAATGTGAAATGCCACATGTGCAGTACAATTACTCTTATGGAGGACAGTATTCTAGAATTTTAAAAGCAGCATTGAATAGAAAGGGGGAAAAAAACACTAAAATAATTGAACTGAAAACAAGACAATGCACAAGAGTCGTTGTCCTGCTCAGGAAAAATGGAGCACCGGAGAATGAAGTTGTCCAAATCTGCAAGTATTCTTTCTTCCAAATGGAAAGACCTGGGCTCTTGCCTGACATGAGACTCTACTTGATCCTTGGGAATTATCCAAAGTGCCCAGTAATATATGCTCTTCAGAACTGGCCCAGAAATAATTCCTATGTGATGGTAAAAGTCCTTTTTCTGCTAGAGTCACAAGACACTTCGTTCACACAGATGGAGCTTTCCCACAGGCACCCAGCATGATCTCACCAACCAGGGGATGTTCAACCCCACCTGGTCTCTTCCCCTACAGTTTCACATCAAATATAGGACAATTTTCCCATCTTAGATTGTACTTCAGGGTAACCCAGATTCACCCGTGAAATGTATGGTTAAAATAAAACATAGAAGAGTTCTGGCAAAATGGCGCCCTAGGCAGAAGCACCATGCTGTCCCTCCACAGCAAAGATCCAAAATACTAAGCCGAACAAAGAATACAACAATCCTGAGACCCTAAAACTTCAAATGAAGAGATAAAGAACTCAGCCAAGCACCAAATGGAGTGAGAAAACTGACAGAATGGAGAGCAAGGAGAGATTCATGCAGAGGTCCCCTACTAGCTAACGCAGTGCGGATCTGCCATCTTGGACTACTATCGGAGACCAGCAAATGGGGTACGAGAAAGCAGCCTCACGGAGTGTCCAGCGGGAGAGAAAACAACAGGTAATTTGCGATATACGCTTTCCCACCCCCCACGCTTCTTTACCCCGACTTGGCCTTCTCTGCTTCCCACGGCCACAATCTCTTGACCGGGAATCACCGGCTGCTTGGATTCCACACACCTGAATGGGCCAGCTCTCTGAGTGCCCTTTGTTGGCTGCTGGTGTTGCTTTTTTTCCGCTTCTTTTGATTTCTTCCTTCCTTCTCACCACCTCCCCCTCCCTTCGCTCAAATACCTGGCTCCGTGCGCCGTCTTTGCTTTTTCCTGAGGGACTGCAGAGCTCCGGTAATTTGTGATATACGCTTTCCCACTCCCTACCCTTCTTAACCCACACTCGACTCCCTCTGCTTCCCACGGACACAGTCTCCTGTCCAAGAAACACCAGCCCACACTAGCTGGCTCTTTGAGTGCCATTTGTTGCCTGCTAGTGTTGCTTTTTTCTTTCTGCTTCTTTTGATTTCTTCCTTACCTCTCACCACCTCCCCCTCCTTTCGCTCAAATACCTGGCTCCATGCGCCATGTTTGGTTCTTCTTGAGGGGCTGTGGCGCTCCGTTCAAGTGTGGAGCTGCTTCCCAGTCTGGGCTGCGCGCTGGTGGGATCCCGGGGCTTTTGTTCGTTTGTTTGTTTTGAATTGTTTGTTTTCCTTTCCTTTTCTTGAGTTGGGAGCCCTTTCTGGCCAGGCGGTGCTGCGTGGCAAGCAGACTTCCCCCTCAGCTTGCACAGACGTGCAGAGGGATCCCTGAGAGCATTTCTTTCTTTTTTTTCTGTTTTTATTGGGGCCTTTCTTGTTCTTTTTTTTTTTCTTTAATTTGTTTTGTTTTCTTTTCCCTCTTTTTCCCTTTTTGTCTTTCTTCATTGCTCAGTTTCTCGTCTCTCTGTATCTTCCTTCTCTTTCTGTTCCCTGAATACCTGGTGTTGTACACCTCTGCACCTTCTAGCCAGGCTGTACTGCAACACCTGAGAGCGACTTCCCCAGACCTCATAGCTGCACTGGTGGGATCCCTGGGAACTTTGTGGTTTTTTAACCTTTCCAATTTTTATTTATTCACTCTTTTCTTTCCTTCCTCTTCCCCTTTCTGTTTTTCTCCATTTCATAGTCTCTCATCTCTCCACTCCAACGGCAAGCTACCTTAGCATTCTTTTTTGTTTGTATGTTTTTGGCTCCTGTTCCTCTCTCCTCTCTCCCATATCCATCTTATCTCCACACATAATAATCTCCCCCCTGCATCCTGCCTACCTGCACTGTGCGCTTAACATCACACCACCAAGCAGCACAGGCACAACCTACTGGAACCTGCCCGGCACTGATTACCGACCTGCTCTGGTGGCTGTAGTAAGTGCCACAAACAACCCATCCCAATAACTCCTCTTCAGGTAG